CATGCTGCATTTATTGTAGAATAAAGACAGTTAGCATATGCTTTCTAGACACACACACACTCTCTCTCTCTCTCTCTCTCTCTCTCTCTCACTCCCGCCAGTCTGTTTATAGTTACCAGTCCAGAATCTGGATCAATCTAGTGGCCAGCCAGATTGGTCGCAGAGGGGAGCTGGGCTCTGTCAGTTGTGATCCGATGCTCCTGGAGTACTGGCAAGAGAAACCCAAAGTCCCATGGTAAAGCACCCTGTTCTTACAGTCTTTTTTCCTCTGTTGAAGTCTATGGATTTTGCTGTGTCACTTTATGACCGGTTACTCCTTAATTGGTGTTATCTTTTGATGTAAACATTCCAAAACACCTCCGAGAGGATCATCCTGTCCCGGATTTGAATTAATCAATTTTCTTTAGGGGTGCCAGCCTCCACCTCATGGTCGTCAATCTGCCCTTCCTCACTTATGGATGCATGTTGATGGTTCTCTGGTGTCAATAAGTCTCAATATGTGTCTTCGCTCCTCCTTTCTTGACCATCTGGTTAACAGTGGCCTTCACACCTTATCTTTTCCTGATGCATGCATTCCTCATTCACACAAACAGTCTTTTACAGAGACCTTTGAGAATACAAACAGCAGTATTGCATATCGAGCAAAAAGACATTGTAAATTAAACCTTGCTAAGTTTTATAACCAAAACAATTCCCATTGAGGCCCAGGCCTTTAATGTTCCTTTAATCAACTTAACATCGACACAATACAGAATCCTGTCTCTTAAGAACTAAACATTAAAACAAAGAACTAAAAAGGGCCCAATTTGTAATGCATATGGGAAACAGAATCCCATAGTTCCAGAGGGTCATTCCTTTCTGCTATTCAAAAAGGGTGGCTGGCAGGATGAAATCAAATCATACATTAATTCTCATAGTACAATTATAAAATCCTGCTCCTACAATCTAATGGTCCCTTTTCACCTTAAACTTGGAAGTGAACTTCATGTCTGGTTCAGCCCATTGTTTTGATAAAAGTCAAAGTCCCAAATATAAACAACCTCAAGCTTTGGGGAAGTTTTGATCTAAAACGTAAACCTTGGCCCATCTCCTGCAATAAAAGACAATGATTCAAGTCTGTCTTCGGTGTGTGACAGGGGTAGGGGTAGAGGCAGTTAGAGATCAAGAGATCCAGTGCCACAGAGTCAACCCATTGTGTGCACAAAGGCACATCCTACTACCGAAACTGTTCATGGAAATCAGTCTTGTGTGTGAGAAGGGCTGAGTGCAAACTTTATACGTGCCTAAGGAAGGCTCTTTGGAATAGGCCCTCTGGCCCCGCGACTGAAGGTGTGGGCGGGAGTGTAGAGGGATTTCCTGTAATGCGTCATTCAAATCAAAGGACCCACCCTAGCTACAGATTATTATTCAGTTTGAGTTTGCGAAGGCTTTTATGTTGTTTCCTATACCATCGCCAGCAGACAGTACTTGGCACAGACATGGTGTTGCATAGTTTTGTATTGTTTTTTTTTTAAGTTTAACTGCTTTGGGAAGGCACTACGTTTTTGGCTACGTTTTTGTTTAGGATATGGAGAGATTGGAGAGGAAAGAACCTCTTGCAGGTGTGAGAGTGAGTAGTGAATGTTTGTCTTTGTGTTGTGTTTAAACCAGGAACAGGAGGAGTGATTGGGGCATCTTCAGATGTTGAGGAGAGTCTACTTCTGTCTTTCCCACCTTTGGAGAATTGGGCTCTGAGATGAGTCTATTAAAAGGAGACATAGTGCAATAGGGTGAGTAGAGATGGGAGAGGAAATCATTAGATGACCAGTGCGATAAGTAATTTGCCTGGATTGCGGTCACAGAGTAGCAGGGAGATGCTGCCACTGTTACAGATCATAGCTCTGAAAAATGACGCAGCTGCTGCTATTTTGTTTTTTAAAGCTATCTTAAGTAAAATGTGCTTGTCTGTTACCATCCCTAATTGGTGTTGGTAGTAGACCCGTGACTATCTTCTGGTTAGACATTAGGTTTAGTTGCACCACAAGCAGTTTTTACAGAGCAACTTATTCATTTCTCTCTTTTTTTTTAAATTTCTTCTGCTGTCTGGGTTGGCTCAGACTCTCTTTGCCTTAACCTCTTATTGTTGTTCCCTTCAATTCCTGCTTTTCTGGTACATTTTACAAGGGAGTTATTTGTCAGTTTCATAACACCACAGTACTCTTTTTAAAAAGTTCTTCTCCACCTTCTTCTCTGAAAGCATCCAGATTAGTGAGCCAAAAACAAAAAAAGAGCTGTTATGACAGGCAGTTATTTTAGCATTATTTATTTTGAAAAAATGCATATTGTACTCTGGGCCAGATCCTGGGCTATGCATTGTGCATTTGAGGGATAGAGGGGAAATGGTGGATTTAAACAACCTTTATATCGCCTCGATCCTTGAGCCATCAGCACTGGCCTTGGGGCTGCTCTACTTTATGTTGGCTGCCAAACACTGATAAATTAATTGCTGGAAACCAGTCTGTTTCATCCGTGTGTTAGTATAGTTAAGGTAGGTATTGAACTTACAAGTATTTCATAAAGTCTAAACACATTGTTATCAATTGCCGCATGCATTAATCTTATAATATCTTTATCACATGCTATATGGTAATATTTAAGTTTTTGCTTTATAACTTGCATGGTATCAAGTATCAGGGGGTAGCCGTGTTAGTCTGTATCTACAAAAACAACAA